CATGTACATTTTTGGGCACATCACATTTTCAGACAGGGAGGGGACAAGGGTAAGAGAAGTGGGAAGGAATATTTTTTTTTGTAGGAAAGAATGGAAGAAAAGAATGACGAGGGAAAGAAAAAGAGGAAAAGTGTATGGGGATTGAAAATTGCTTACTATGTTTTTTTTTTAAATAATTTATGCAATTTTAAGCATTTATGTATAAATTTTTTAATAAGCCACCCTGGAGCAAAATAGCCATTAACATCCCAACGTCCTTCTGTCCAATGGGCTCTTGTGCCGGATCAATTTCCGAGAGTACTTTCCTTTTTTTTTATGACATGATAAAATGCTTTTAAAGCAACTTACACAAATATGGAAATTTTTTCCCCTCCTCTTTTTTCCCTCTCTCTCCCCTTTTTTTTTTTTATAACAGCCTCTACTTATTCACCAGGGAGAGCGAGTGAGTGAGAGTGCGTGTGTGTGCTGGGGAGGGCAGTTGGCAGAAGGATAGACCCAGCCCTAACTGGAACGGACCTGCCTGTCCTTCTAACAAGGGCATAAACTTTCATTAGCGATGCACACAGTCAAAGGCAATTTAGGGAAACGCGCTGTACAGAAAAGGAAAACCTCAGCGTTTTCACTCAGTGGCTCCTTGGCTCCGTTCAGGGGGCTCTATCCTTGAGCTCTGCCTGCGCTCTCCACCAAAGTGACCCCAGTGGCCACGGGGGAGGCAGAGGSAGCAGAAGGAGCTGGGGCTGCTCTGGGGMTGCAAACACCCGGCCAAGGCAGAGCCTGCCCGCCCCGAGCTGCACMGGGGAGCCAGTCAATATTAATGTCTTGCTGGAGCACACTGGTACTGCAAGGGGCCCAGAGCTATCTGCTGCTCTGCCCACTGCCCAGCTTCACCCTCCGAGGGGCTAGTCCTCGCCACAGGTCTCTATTTTGGGCTTCTGCACACTGACAGGGAGCTTGCAGCCACTCCATGCCCTTTGGGGCATTGGTTACAAGCTGTCCCTGTCCAGACCAGACAGATGTGTCGCTGCCAGTCCTGTTTCCACAGGGTATACACACTAGCTATTTTTGCAGCTGGGACATGTTCAGCCTCACACAGGAACCCGGAAAATACCATTCCTAAAGGGATGGCTCCTGCTGCTGGCCCCAAGAGCAGGCACAGCTCTGCGGAGGATGGACACCAGAGGACAGCTGGAGGGAGAGCAGCCCARCTTGAGGGGATCAGTGGGGTCTGAAACCATGACTACGTGTTGGATATGAAACAAAACTCTATCTCCAGCTAGCACGGCCTTGGCCCTTTGGCTTTGGGGTTGAAGTTTATGCACCCCAAGYCAGCTATCCATTATACATGCCCAAGCATGGGAATCCCCTATGCATGTTCTTATTTACTTCAACATAAAGCCCTGATACCAGTTTTTGTACAAGAGCAGATTTCTTTACCTTTTTGTACGACRTCCATCTAGAGATAATCCAGAGCTATGAATTTAATCCCACTGACAGCAGGTTTGTACATCACTGGTACCTTACACAGACCTGCAGTGCTGCCTGGCACAGGGCTGGGCACACACCTGCCCCATCTGCCATGTTTGTGGGCATTTGAACTAAACCAGAGGGTAAAAAATAAAATATTAAAAAAAAAAAAAATGAAAATCCAGGGCAGCCAATGCTCAGCTGGAAAAACACAAAGTGCCGAGAACAGCAAACCCAATCAATAACAATCACAGCCCCGGCAGCGGGCGAGGAAAGCGTGAACTGTTTTGGCCTGCTCCCTGCATGCTCACCCACTTGGGAAAACACACRCCCCAGAGGCCCATGATTTCATCCCTCCTGCTCCACCCTATGCTCACCCTCACCAAAAAGCTTTTGGAGTGCAAGTCCCCCAGGCTCTTTGTTCTGACCAGAAAGTTAGCAAAGAGGAGAGATGGGTCCTGCAAAAAGGAWCTGGACTCGTGCAATGAGCTGGTGCCTGAGGAAGATTCCTTCTTCCAGCAAAGTGCTCCTTACATCCCACACCCTCTAATGTCCCCTCATTTCCAAAGTTTTGTCCTTTGTGCCCCGCTTCCCACTCAAGTTCCCAACACCATTCCACCTTTCTCCTTCCCAGCATCTCCTGCCAAAGCTCTCGTATCCCAGTCCACACCTCCACACCCTCCTCACACCTCCCTCCCCTCATTCCCTTCCCAACAGCCAGGTCTGCAGAAAAAGCTGCCCAGAGAATGAGCACTGCCMGGGACCACTGACCAGCCCAGGGAGGGGGAACATGGAATTCTGTCAGGAAAAACATGGGAGCCCTCCCTTCTTCTGGTCTCGCATCACTCTTCATTCAGGCTGTACAGATTTGGGGGATTTCACCGTATCAGCAGAGGTCAGCAGGAGTTGAAGGTTTTCAGATCATATATATCACTCTATATGGTCTTGTCTATAGCGAGTGCTAAATATAGCCAAGCCAAACCTGGAGGTGACTTCAGTGCTGTGGTGCAGGGACAGAGCCACTGCTCAGGCACCCTCTGCTGCCTCAAAGCAAMGCAGATGTCACAAGTCACAGTCCAAAATCAAGGACACCCGGGAATCCTCTGTTCTCCCCCTGCCAAGAGTGTGAGCCAGGTTCCCTCCCTTTCCCTCTCTCGGGTCTCCATGGTTCCTCATTTTGAGGAGTCAGAATGAGGAATCATTCTTGCTTCAAGGTCCATTTTTTAATGGGATATTGGACCCTCCTATCTATGACAGGCCAGTATCTGTTTCAGCACAGCTACTTAAAAACTTAACCATGGAAGAAGCTCTGCACAGAAGGGTAAAGTCTCTTGTGTGGGTCAGAATAATTAGACTGAGCTCGAACTGGCTTTAGGCATCTGCTGCTGTCTCTGAGCAAAATCAAGCCATGCTGCTTCCATCAGCATCTCTCCACTGCTGGCCTCACCCCGCAGAACCAAAGGGATCACACTGCCTTGTATARGGCATCTCTGGGAACAAGACTTGCCTCAACTGAAGCCATAAAGCCTCCTTATCCAGATATCATTAAAGCCAAGAGAAAAGAGGCCAGACAGAGAGATTGAGATGAGCCATTTCCCCAACAAACTTGCTTCCCTTTTTCAATCGCGCCTTTCTTTTTTTTTYCCCTTTAACTGTCATTAAAATAACAAGTTTCTGTTACAGTCTAAACATTCCCACATTGTATAAAGGGTTATGTTACACTAGAGTCACTGCCGGGCCCAGTGTTTGCACAGAAACCTCACTGCAGGTCCCCCCTCCTGACGAAGTGACTTATTAAAGTTTAAACAGTAATTAACAGAACAATAAAAATAAAGGGATGTTTGGGGAGTCGTAGTGCACACAGGGTTTTTGGCAGTGCCAGCACTTTTCAGTGCCCTGCGCTGGCAGAAAAAACGGCTGTAAAACCAGTGGGAGAGAGAGATGTTGTGCTGGAAGGCAGGAAGGGGCTGCAGCGAGGCTGAGGTACAATCCCAGCCCCACCACGAGGGTGTGGAGAGCAGCAGGATGCAATGGAAGGGTTTGGGGGACTGGGGGAAGGCTGCCAAARGGTCACCTGGCCCGAGGCTGATCAGATTTGGTGGTCGCCACCAACCCTGTCCTCAGTCTGCACATCAGACAGCACCAAGAACCTCCACTGCCTCTTCTCCCACCCTGCTGAATGGCTTGGGCAAACCCCTAAAATCTCCAGTTGGGGAATTGTGTCTCAGAAGCCAGAGTTGGGTTTTGGGAAAGCAGCTCCTTTATTTTAAAGGAGTAGYAGAGAGGAAAGAGCAACCACGGAGCAAAGCTCTGACAAAAATCTTGCAACAGAAAGACCTTTTACAGGAGACCCCAAGAGCAAACCCCTTGCTTGGGAACTTTAAACACCAAGATGATGKCCTGTAGGGACCGATCCTGCCCTGGCTCTGTGCAGGTGTGAGCTGAAGATCCAACAGYACAGTAATAGTTCTGGGGTCAGTAGTTCTGGGGTCATTCCCTCCTGAAACGCAGCCAGAGCCAAGATCACAGGGTCAATCCCTGAGTCTTGCCAGAGCCAGAACCTCCCCAACCCATGTGAGGTTGGCGATTCAGAGTTTCCTTCAGAGGAGAGAACTTGCTTTTGCTCTGTTTTGTTCCCATACGCAGCACCTTGACTTGCCCAGGATGAGGGGTAGAGCACGTGGGCAGTTTAAGGTTGTCAGCCCTCCCTGTTACCCAACATGCAGCAATGCAGGAAGATCTCATCTGAAGATATTTTTGGTGCCTATTGTAGCTATTCTCAAATGTTTGCCTCAGTAGCTCACAGTGCTAGCTGGCTCCAGCCCTGATGTGTGACTCAGTACACACAGCATTGTGCAGTCCCATGTTTGCTAAATCTCTTMCAGTACAACTGCTCAGTTTGCAAATAAAAGGACAACTCTGTGAGGGTGTATCTCCTGTGCAGAGGGAACTCAGGGAATGCTGCCTTGAGCCTCTCCCAAATCCAGGATTGGCTCCTGCCGTGTCTGAGGAGCATCACAGCTCTGTCCTGCTCTGGGCACTGCCCCACTGCCGTGAGGACACACAGGGACATGGACAGGCACCATTGCTCCCAGTCAGCCCACAGCCTTCCTTCCCTCTGCTGGGGTGAAGAAGGAAACCTCCAGACAGCACCAAGACATCTCCAGACACTCAGCCCCGTGCCTCAGCTGCTCCCTTCCTCACTTGCTGAGCTTGATGCCTCTCTGACTGATCTTATGCTCATGTCACTCTGCTCAGCTCAGGAGAATCATTTCCCAGCTGACACYACATCAGTGACAAAAGGGAGCTTACGCCTTTCCACTGCCACTCACACTGAACTGAGAGAAAAAGAAATGCCACCCAAATCTGAAATTCTCATCCCATTCTCCCAACTATGGGATGTTTCTCAGCTCTGGCTGTGCTGGAGTTGGGATCTCCAGCAGTGAGAGCGGCAGTGCCTGAGAGGGGAGAGGTGTTGAACAGCTACAAGCAGGTGCAAACAGAACAACAGAAGGTGCCCCCAGGTCAGCACTCACGTGCATTTTCCTCGGCCATGTCTGAGGAGACTTGGAGTCAGAACAGAGCACAGCTTTGCATGGGGGTCTCAAACATGTTCACAATGCAGAAAGACTGTCCTGTGCACTTCCTTTTCCAACACGTCGTTCAGGATGTCTCTACAGCAATGCCAGTAACTGCCTGTAGGGAATTTTATGTTAGAAGATTATCTAATGCACTCTTAATCATCTGGTCTTGCGATCTAGAGTGGGAAATCAGAGCAGCCAGCATGGTGTGACCCTTCCTCCAGACACCACCGAGCTCAGATACCATTATCAGTGTAGCTGGTCCATGTCCCAGAACTTAAGCTCTCTTTTGGTTGGTTAACAGGCCATGAAATTATTTAGACTATTCTTCATGTTACATTCTGTTATATTTGTAATTAACACAGAAGATCAGCAGTGCCACATTCTGTATTTTGCTGAATACAGGGGAGACAGTGCTTAGAAGCACTTAGTCTCAACCTAACTCTGTCCTGTTAGGTTTAAGGGGAAGCCAACTCTTCAACCTGTCCCACAAGGGAAGGGCTGGGTACTGTCAGAGACCTTAACCCCCATATGTTTGAAATATGATATGGAAACCAGCACCCTAAAATCTGGTCTTACCTCATTTTTTCAGAAGGGACTTTTAAACAAAAGAAAACAGTCTGCCAGCACACTCAGTGTTCGGCGCCATCTTCAATCAGGGAAGCCTAATTATACCCATTATACTGATGAGGAAGCACTGGCACAAAGCTGTGTATTCACATGGCTACAGATACAAAGCAAATCAGTGGCAAAGCTGGAATTAAAGCCGGGAATGATGGTGATGAGCTCATCACCCACCTCAGCACAGCCCCATGCGGCTGCTCATGCCCAGTCCCACCCACGTCCTGCAGGGTACAGGGCTGCTGAGGAGCCCTCCACACCTCTGCTCAACAGCTCAAAGTTTCAGTCTCCATGCTGAGATTGTCTGAGATGCTCTGGGACATTCAGGGGCTGCTCACATCAGCTGGCCCACAAGGACCAGTCACTCAGCTCCGTGCATGGGGACATCAGCCAGAGCATGAGGTCTGAGCAGCTAAGAGACCCTCTGACCACAGAGACCAGGCAGGAATGAATCATCTGCTTCCCCTGAAGCAGTTTAATCAACTTCCCTGCATGTGGATCCTTGCAGCAGGTCCAGCCTGAGCCATCTAYGTATTAATGGTTCCCTGGGAGGTGAAGCCCAGAGATTTTCCTTGGCACCAGGTCCAGCACTCGCCCTGCACTCTCCCTGCCAGGTGCTGGGTGCTCTGGTCTAAGAAAGGCTGCAGAATCTCATGGGACTGAGAGTCATCACATAAACARTACAGTAGGAGCATGGGCTGTAATTGTAAAAGCACCAGAGGTCTTGGCACCAGAGTCTGCCTCAGCAAAGGTCTCTATATGGAGACTCAAAACAAAAGTAAGCCCGAACTTTCTTGGATCTTAGTGAACAATAATAAATAATAAATAACAGCCCTAAGAGCCAAGCTAGCAAGGCAGATGTGAGGCACCAGGTGATGTGAGGCACCAGGCACCATCCCTACAGCAGTTGCCCTCCCTCCCCAGTTTCCAGCACACTGAGCTCAGGTCACTGGGYTCTTGCAGATTTAGGTCCAGGGGGAAGTTTCCGATTTCTGTCAGGATTGTGCACCCCACCCACCCAGTCAGATGTGCAGGAGCTGCAGCCTTTGCATGTCCCTGCACTGGGATATTCACCTGCTAAGACTCCAACTCATGCCCAGCTCCTTCTGACTGCAGATCTCTCTTTAAGTGCTGAAGGCAAAAAGAAGCAGATGGAGCTGAGCAAGGGAATCCAGGTAGGTGTGAGTCCGGAGAAGCCTCTCCCCAGCATCTTTACAGTCTGGACTCAAAGTCCCCCACCTGTTCTGAGCAAGCTGAGCTCCCAGAGGACACCAGGAGAACTGTTTGGCAGGGACATGGGCTGAAACAAAGGGCCTAATTTAAGTATTTTTATAACTTGGTGCTTGTGACAGTGGGTTTAGCAGTTGCTAGCCATCTGGAATAAAGAATTACAGCCACCTCCCCTAATCCTATATTGCCTAAACCCTAAAGCTGGTTATGGTGCAAGGATGAGGCAGCAGGTTGAGAGGAGGCAGCGATGGGAAGGTGGGGGTGGAGAAGAGACTGCAGGAAAATTGTCAAACTTATTTCTTTTTCCTACAAGGTGCTGGGTGGCCCCAGATATGTCAGAAGTATTTTTGCTAGGAATCGAGAGAAGACAGAATGAACAAAAACAGGGGAGTGGGGAGACAAGGAGTCCTCCATGACCACACAGTCGCATGCACCACACACACACACACACACACAGAGGCTTACTGGTCTGCGCAGGGCTGTCAGGTAAATTAGATCTGAAAGCTGACAATTTCTGACCATATTTCCTTGATTATTTCAAACAAATGCACACCAGCCGCTGTAAGGAGATTAAAGTGACATAAACGTCCCGAGTGGGAGGAGGGAGGGCAGAGAATTCAGGTCACCCCCATCCGTCCCCCATTTGACAGCCGCTATATCGCTATCCAATCCAATAAAAAAATCCCCCCCTTTTGCTTTAATTAATTTTACAGCTAGCTTGCTTAATTACTTTCAATCAAAATCCTCCTGCCATCGCAAAATTAGAGATGGTTGAGCTCCATTAGCCTAAATTCTTCATTTCCATATAGAAAGAGGCTCCCTCAGAGAAGCCAACAGGGCTCTCTCCGACTGAAGCTGCCATCGGACAGACGTCTGTCCCTCTGTCTGTCTTCAGTGCCTTGGGAGAAGGAAGAGCGGGAGGACACAGCCTTGCTCCCACCTTCCCATTCTATRGAGCATCTCCTTGAGAGCCCTGGACAGAGACAGCTCTCTGCTCCCAGCAAACACCACAAGAGGTGAGGACAGCCTTGCCCTACCAGCGCCTCTACGGCCGTGCTGGAATGAGCTTTTCCATGGAAAAGCTTTTCCATGGCTGTGTGAGTCCCCTCTGCTCTGCTCCCAGCGCTGGGGATGGGATCTGCAAAGGACTCTGCTCTCACTGGGGCTGCTTTGAGCACTGCCACTGCCACCCCACTCAGGCATGCAGACATCACTGACTCGAGGTGGTCTCTGKGGACKCATGGAAAGGACATYGAGGGGACACAGGGACAGAYCATCTTTCATCTCCCTGCTGTGGGTTTGGTACCTTTCTTCAGAGCATCTGGCACTGTGGGCCACAGACCCGTGACATTTTTGCAGCTGCTGTAGGCATCTTTARCACCTCTCTCCTGCAAACAAATCCTGAACTGTTCCATTGTGTGCACAGTGGAACCTCCTCTGAAGGGTATGGAGGGGCAGCAAATAAACCAAACAGCATTGCAGAGACAAAAACCCTGAGTGCGTGGAGAGGATGGATGCAGGAGGAAACCCTGGAAGGAGCTGGATACTCTGGGAGCAGAGGAGAAACATCTCCTCTCAAAGGACCGCAGGAACTGGAATTATCCAGMCCATTCCATGCTTTCCTCCCATTTTCTCCCATTTCCTAAGGTCTTCTCCTTCTCCTGTCCCCAAACTCATTTCAGAGCAATGGTTCTAGTGGAATTTTACACACASTCAGTGCTCTGTGCAGGTGCTGAGSCCTGGGAGCAGCCCGTGGAGCTTGGTCCCTGCTCTCTCCTGCTGCCACTGCCCAGGCCACACACACACCCAGCCTGGAGCTGCAGGAAGGTCACAGCAGCACTGCAGACTCTGCACCCTCCCACCCTTCAGAAAGCTCAGGGGCATTCACAGGCACCAGARGCTCAATCCCCTCCCACCCAGCTCCAGGTAGGACAGGTCAAACCCTTCTTCTTTAGAACAAAAYGAAGAAGAGACAAACACAGACCTATTTTGTTTATAAGCTTAAAACTGAATYCAGTGGCGCATCTATCTGGGGATTTTAGATTAAATGGTTTAAGAAACTCAAATAGGCTTTTTAATCCGGTCAAATAAAAAGAGCCCCAAAGAAGCAAAGAATTCACCCTGCTGAGCCTCATGCCTGTGCAGACAGCCAGGCATGAACGGCCTTCTTGCTCTCTGCCACTCATCCCCACCCTGGCATGGGACACAATGTATTTGCCAAAATGTGGAAGCTTAGGGTACAGCCTGTCCAGGACTTGTGCAGAATTCACTTTCCCATGGACGAYCCACTTCTATCACCCTGTGCAACACCCTCTTCATCCTTTCTGTGTCCTTCTGTGCTGTTCAGCTGGGCCCTTCCCCCTAACACCCAGCAACGCAAACGCAGTGCCAGCCCTGGTTACATCAGCAGCCCCAGCCAAAAGCAGTCCCAGAGATGACCCCAAAACCCCAAATCCCCATTCAATACACACAATTTCAATACAGGTACTGTTTTTCATACAAAYTACACTCCTGAATGCTTCACAAGAGAAGACAAGGAGCCATGAGAGGCAGGGGGATCAGCATGGTCTACCAAGGGACACGGCAGACGGACAATCAGCCCAGGTCGGATGGATGGACACCAATCCTGAACAGACTGGGGCAGTGAGATGAACTTCTGGAGCTGAATCCTGACAGAAACCAAGATGCAAAGGGGCTTTATTCTCTGATGGATGACTACCTCTCCATGCCTTCCAGCCTCCAGTAGCACATCTCACCAAGTTCCCAAGAGAAATGGTCTCCTCTCCTCTACTGCTGCTGTTCCACTCCGGAAATGCTCAGAACCAGCCTTCCCCTGAACATGCTCTGCAATAAAATTCCCGACTTGTGTCTCGCCTGCTCCAATGCTCAGAGCAGCTGGGACAATAGAACAGAGAGGCCCTAAATCCACCAGACTCACCCTAAATAGCAATGGCCCATAATTTTGCCTGACATTCAGGAGCTTGTTATTCTTTCCCCTCGTCGCCTGGCTGGAGCTGTTCAGACCCATCAGTGTTATTCTATGCATTAAATGGGAAAAAAAACAACTCAACAGCCCAGAGAGTTTCCAAGCCTGCCCAGTGAGGGCTGAAGGGGCAGCATCCATAGCTGAGCTGGCGGTGGGAGAACAGGAGGAATCAATGCCTCAAACCCAGACCCACTCGCTCTGCAGGGGAACAGCACCAGTGGGTCCTGCAGAGACTCCAGCAGAAACACAGAGCCTTTTCTCTGCTTCCACCCCTACCA